TGTAAGGTAACTAAATAAATAAAAATCGAATAGTGCATTATTCGTATTTCGAATTATTCTAATAATGCGTTTTTCAAAAAATATTATACTAAATTATATACTATCAAATGCAGGGTAGGAACCCGAATCAGGGTTCAAGAATTTAAGAATCAGAAGAAATTTATAAGAGAAACTTAATCGTAATCGATATTCTGAAGAGATCTGAAGTCCCGGGTTGGTCTCAAAATGTTCGACCAAACAATTTTAAATTTCTAAACCTAAATTTGTGTTCACAAACCCTGATTCAAATGTAAAAATAATGATATTGAAATATCAGTATTTGCCAATATTGATCGGATTGAGGTCAGTATATACTTTTCAATAAATTGGCTTATTATGTATATATAATAATTATACTTTTTCATTTTATACATAATTTCTTAATAACAATAAATGTAAAGAAAGGATTTTAAATGTTTATATTATTTTTTTGTCAATTGCGACAAGGATAGGGATTTAAAATGTCTAACAAGTCACTCTCAGATTCAGTTATATAACATTGCCCATATTTTAAATAAGAGATAACTTGGGGGGAGGGGGGTAAAAAACTATAATTATTAATTCATAATATGCATTGCACCAAATATGTCATGCCTAGACCTGTGCGCCGCCGGTATTTTTATTCACGCCGGAAAAGCGCCGATTGAGATCAGAGGCGCGAGCCCGCTCGCCGCCGATTTTTATTATGGCAGCGGCGCGGCGTGTGTAATTTTTAGAAAGCATATTAATTATATTTATATATTATTTAAATTTGAATACTAACATTAATAAAATTAAAATATGAATTGTATTCTATTGCTATATATAATAGGCTAGTGTATATCATTATTGTATTCTATTGCTATATATAATAGGCTAGTGTATATCATTTAAATTCATTCATACATCATATTTTATTTCCACAAACAATTCATATTAATTATTTTTATGGACTTGCACGTTTTAAACCACCCTATATACAATTATGAAATAACAACATCATAAATCAAGTTATGTCTGGAGGTACTTTGGAAATCTTAATGAAAATAAGAAAAGCACAATAATGCCTGATTATATTTATTGTGAACCTTGTTTAAAATTGTTGAAAAAAGATGAGGAAGATTCGTATAAGCATAATTCATTTTCACAGTAATTTATTTTTTTAAGACTTATATTTATATATATTTTAGTTATGAAATAAAATGTTTTAGTAAAAATATAAGTACAAGTAATCTATCTAGGCACTTAATTAATTATCACAAACTATCAGAAAAAATGAATAATAATAAATTTATTCAAAGTCTAAAAATATTTTTAAAACCAACAGCAAGATGCAGCAACAATATAAAAAATAAAAAATGGCTCTTACGTTAGTATTATAGTTTATTATTATTCATTTAAAATTTTTAACTGGTTTGTTAAATTAATTTTATTAAGCTTTATTTTGAAAGTTCAAAACAACTAAATTTTTAGTTTATTTATTGCCAGCTCTATTTTGATATCTTTTTAATATATAAACTTAATATATGATTTATTAAATTAATTATGTAAAACTTTATTTTGAAAGTTACTACTAAATCAAATTCATAATTTGTTTCATTCCAATACTAATTATTATGTTTTTAAATGTCTTTTTAATGTATAAACTTAATATATAATTTATTAAATTAATTATGTAAAACTTTATTTTGAAAGTTAAAACTAAATCTAATTTATAATCTGTTTCATTCCAGCTCTAATTATTTTGATATTTTTTAAATATCTTTTAAATGTTTAAAATAAATAAGAAATCTAATAGGGCGAAATTATGTTTTGATGTGCTGCTTAGATTTAATGCCACTTGATTCTATAAACAATAAAGGAATGACAGATTTTCTAAAGGTTTAAAATTTATATAAAATGATTATTAAAAAATAAATTGCCTAAAAAATAGAAATATAAGATAATTGATTCCTAGTCAGAATTGCCAAATAGGACAACCATTCGTCGGGGTGCGCTAGACGATGTTTAACTATCTATAAAGGCCCATGTTTTAAATTTAAATGATTTTGGACCAAAATTTTGTTCTATCACTTTTGATTTATGGACCGATTATTTCAAGCGTCGAAATTATATCACATTTAGTCTTCATCATTTAGATGGAAATTTTGATTTAAAATATTTTACCCTAGCAACTAGAAAGTGACTCAAAAGCATACTGGGGAAACAATATTATCTGAGAGATAGTATTGAAGAGGAGTTCCATTTAAAAGCCAAAATAATACAAATGGTAACTGATGCTGGGGCCAATGTCAAAAGAAGCGTCAGATTAAGGAATTATGAGCATCATTTATGCTTAGGGCATGGACTTAATAATTTGGTTACAGTTGATGGCATAAAAAGTTACCAAAATTGATATTCTCATTAAAAAAATTAGAGAAATTATTTCAGCCCTTAGATATCGAGTAGATTTGGAATGTGAAATTGAGGCTGAACATCGTAAATGTCTGCAGTCAATTTATGAGACAAATAATATCTTGGATATTAATGATTCTGATCCAAACCTTGATGACCATTTTGATATGTCTGATGAATCGGATAATAGAAATGGCATTGCACCAACCAATCTAATTAATTCAAAAACTTTAAAATTAAATTGCCCTACCCGCTGGTATAGCATATATGCCAGAAAGTGTTCGCAGTGTAAACAAAATTCTATAAATAATGTTCTAAATAAAATAGGAAAACAATCTTTAAAACCCTTTAATAATGAATGGGATATGGTTGATGAACTTTACACAGTATTAAATCCATTCCGAGAGTAGGTGGAATTTCTTTGCTCCCAAAAAGGATCGACAATAAACTTAGGGTTATTATTTCGCAGTGATATAGAAGCTCTTATACAAATCAATAGATCTGATTGCTCAGATATTATATGCTTAAAAGAAAATATGGGAAAAAAAGCTTGAGTTTCCCATTACTGAACTTCGAATTATTTTATATTTTTATTAATAAAATTATATTTTAAATATTAGATATTAGCAACACTTGATCCCAGATTTCAAAATCTTAAAGTTGTTTCAGAATATTTAAATTTGAATTCTACGACATCATTGCAATTTTTAATTCGACATTTAAAACTTTTAGAGCATGAAAGAAATGCACAGAGTGAAATTCAAGTTGAGGATAATGGTCAAACATCAAGCTCTTATATAGCTAAATTAGCTTGTAAACATTCTCTTCCAAGTAACGATTATAACAATATTAATAATCTAGAACAAGAATGCCATATTTTGCTCAGCCAAAATAATATCCCAGAAGAGGACACATTAATCTTTTGGAAGAAAAAGCGACGGGAACTTCCTATGCTTGCTAATGTAGCTAGGAAGGTTCATTGTATACCTGCACAGCAAAAGATCCATTGCTGGATTAATACTCAATGCTAAAAGGACTTCTTTATGTCCCACAAATCTTGATAAAATACTGTTTATTCATGACAATTATAATTTTGATAAATCTGAATTCTTACTTATTATATTTCATACTTTATATTTTGCTTGCATTCCAAATTTATTTTAATTATAATAAAAATCAATAGAATATTTCTTATATGTGTTGGATGACTCTGATCTGAGTAAAAATGCAATTCCTTAGATTTCTGAGAATGAGAAAATACATAAATTTAAATTGGAGTGAGACAGGAAATAATTTAAGATCAATTAAACTATGTTAATTAATTATAAAAGATCGCCCAAATAAATTATAAAAAATGTAATACATTAATTTATAAATTAAATTCAAATAAATTGATTTATAAATTAAATTCATTTAAAAAAATTTTAAAATAAATATTGCGCTGCCACCAACAATTTAGTAGATGGCGGCTAAATCGGCGTGCTGCCGAACGCCGATAAAAATTTTTAAAAAACAGACGCTGTGATTGAGACATTGGCGCACAAGTCTAGTCATACCCATGAGAGATGGGTAATTTCAAAGTGTCTTTATATCTTGCCATAAAGATAACCCAGCCCATAAGCAATTTGTAAATAAAAAAATTCTGGGCATAGGCAGAGCCTTGCAAATCTTTCATTTTTGGTAAAATGTTAATAAGCAGTTCAGAAAATAAAATACCCTTCTTTTTTTGAATATGAGCTGTCAAACTTAAAATATTGAATCTATAAATAATATAATAATCTCAATAAAACAAGTTATTTATGATATGATCCAATTAATAGGAGTATTCAGAATTTTGCCAAGGGAGGTAGGAGGGCACTAGATTTTCCCTCCATAAATTTTATTGGAAGTATTTAGGTCAACTTATTTGGCTATATTAAATTTCTATATAAATAATTTTAGGTTATCATTTTTTTTGTAAAAAAATTTTTTCTAAATGAATTAAATCTATTTTTAATGTTATTAACTTTTACTAATTTTTCTTTCAAAATCTAATTTATAATGATATATTGTATATTTTTTGGGAGGGATTAAAAAAATTTTAAAAAAATTCCCCCCCCCCCCTTGGTTACACACCTGACTTAATATAGATACAAACAATTGATTTAAAATGTTTATGAAACCAAAATTGACATTAGGAAAAATTAGATATAGATTTAAGAATGTGATAGCCAGAAGATTAGTGAAAAATTTTTTTAACAGTCCAGACAAGTGTGACAATTCTTACTGGACCAAGGGAGGGGCTTTACATATTTAACAGTTATTTTTTTTTGATAGAAAATCTATTGATTTCTCAATGAACTTAGTTCAAGGATAGAAAGCAAATCAAAATCAATTTAAAAGATTGACAGACCAGTGAAAAAATTGTAGCTAGTACAATGTTAATTAATATAATATTTAATTCTTTTGACACATAAATAATATCAATATCTAGGTAATTTTAAAATAAGAAAAGTTTATAAATAAAATATAGAAAAATTTCCTTTTTGAAAACTAAAATTTAATAATTAAATCATCAAAAATTTACCAATTATATATTTAATATTTACCTAGAATTAGTTGTATAATGTTAGAAATATCAAAATCCATATGTTGTAATAATTTAATGTCATAATAATTTCCTAAGTCTTCAAAATCATTTGCCAAATTATTTACACTATTTTTTTATAATAAAAGTATGATAATAGATTCATATTATACTTATTTATAATTCGTTTATATAAAAGTAAAAAACACTTTTCACTTATTAAGTGAATAATATTTGATGCTAATTTTTGAATTTTTATGATTAATTGGTTGTCATCAGACAGATCTATAATCTATATATAAAAATGATATGTAATTTTTTTAAATTATCTTTTTTACGTGACATAATTCAGGAATTAATATTTTTGAAAATTGATATTCATCAATTTTGGTTACATCCCTTTGTAGCTAAATTTATTGTCAAATAAATTTATTTATATTATAAAAAACTTTAAGGAAACATTTTTCTAGCATTTCCAAAACAATAAAAATAGATTCATATTGATTTGCTTCAATTTCATAACAGCATAATTTCTTACAAATATTAATAAAGATAATAAGATTATATAATACCTTGCTAGTTAAATTTTTTAATATATTTGCCAAACCAATTACCACGGTTGTAAATTTATAATTACTAATATTAATAAGAGATTCCCTTAATTGTTCAATTAAATATCTTGTATGATTAGACTGAGCTCCAGATATAAGAGGAAGCTAGTATAACAATATGCATATGGTAAAAAAAATTATTATCACCTGTTCTTCAAATTTATTGAGAATCAAGCTTATCCATTCAATTGGTTTCTGACTATTCATAATTTTTATTCATACATTATTTTGGGAAATTTGAATAGGTTGTGCACTCTTACCATAAAATAAATGACATAATATTTGACTGTCGTCTATATATTGACTGTTCGGTATTAATTCCTACATTCAATTGAATTTTTGGATTTTATGAAGAGTCATATATATTATTTGATTGAATTATTCGAAATTATTTCGTCAAAATTTATCGTATATATTCGACATTATTTGTAAATATTCGAACCTATTTGTAAATATTAAAACTTATTCAAATATTTATTTTATGTAAGTAGGAACATGTTATTTTTTTTACTATATTTTTTCGGTCTATAATAAATGACTTTTAAAATTTTAAAGGTCTAATTTTTCCAGATTTTGGAAAGATCCATAAAGGTAGATACTCCGGAGATCAAGCATATAGTCCAGTGGGATATCTATAGATATTGATATTCCGGTGAGAGATTAATCAGCAATGGATTTGATATGGGTAGCTGGGATCCGTCAATATTGAAAGGGAAATGATATTGTTTCTCTAGAGATCAATCGTACCATGGCAGCTAATATTGATGCTCTTTCGAGAGATCAAAATTTTGATTGGAGGGAGAAGAGTGGATGTTAGAAAAGGGAGCAGAACACGATAAAGGTAAATGGAGATCAAAGACAAAAATTTATTAGGAGATTTACTATACCTTTATCAGATGTAGGTCAATTAATGAAGAGGAAATGTAGTGATATAGAAGATATATGTATAAAGATAATATTGATATATGATTATATATGTATTTATAATATCGGGTAATGTTTAACTGCCTAACTTTATTATTAGAATGTAGAAACTTCTATTATATATTAATATATCCTATTTTATGAATTATCATGGTTGTATAATAAACGAATGAATTATGAATTCTTTTATGCTATCTGATATGTGAAATAATATCATTTATTGTGGTATCTGGATGATGACACTATCTATTGACCATCCAAATAAATTTTAATAAGTGTTATGATATTAGAATTTGATTAAAATTGTCCTTTTTACTTTCGTTGATTTAATCTTCCAGTTTTATTTTTTTACATAACATTTTTGGTAAAGCTATTTTAACAAAATATTTGGTTTTAAACGTTAAGGATAAGGACAAATAACATTTTATTTTGTTCAAAAATGTTAACTTAAACTTTTTATTTTGCTATTTATTTTATTACTAATTATATATTTTGTATATATATAATAACTTTATTTTTAATTTTATTTCTATTGTATAATTTTTTATATTTGTGTTTTAAATAAAGTTAGGCTGCGTATCACTTACTTTAATAAACCTTACTATAAAATAAATAAATCTAAATCTAAAAGAGGCTTTTTAAATTCAAATCCTTTTTATATTTTGGGATTAATTATCGTAGAAAGTGAAACAAATCTTGTTTCACATTTAACCGACTGTGAGGTGTTAATGTAATTTTTCTTAATAGATTCAAGATTTATTGTTTAATAAATTTTAAATCATTTATGATTGAATGATATTTTAATTTTAATGTGTTTTAGGTTAGATTCATGTGCGATCTGATCCGACGCAATTAAATAACTGATTGATTTACAAAAAAATTTCAGAGATCGGGTTTTCTATATTGTTTATTTTATTTTTAATCCTATTCATGATATTATATGATAAAACTTATGAATATTAAATTTAAATATTAGTTCATATGTTGAGTGAAAATTGGTATAATTAAATAAGAATGGAAAAATAATAATCATTTAAATAAATTTACCATTTTTGAGTGATTAATTTTGATCCACCTAGTTCGTATTTACATGAACTTATGTTTTGGTATGATCATAAGACATACCATAAACTTAAAACAATAGCCAATTCTGTCAACAACCACATAAATATTATGTTAATCAAAAAAATATATTCAATTAAGAGCTTTTTGTGATGGATTCAAATTTGCAAATTTTTTAAAAATCCATTGGGCCTATGTATTTTTGAATTATATTCTTAAAATTTAATTAAAAAATTTAGGCGTATTATTTTTTTTTATCTTAGAGAGTAAATAGTTTTATAAATATCTAAACATTTAGGTTAACTTAGCATTGAAATTGAAGAAAAAATAAAAAATAGTATAAACTTTAAAAAAATTTTGAAAATTATACAAAAATTAAATTTTTATTTAAAAAATCAAAATTTATAATTTATTTGTTTTCGACTTATGTTTCATTTTCTTTTTTGGGTCAACAATTATTGGATCATTTGAACGCAGTGACGTCCGCGTAGCTATGGAAGAATGAGATGAAGTTTTTTTCGTACTTTTCCCATGGCCGCCCTTAAATTTAGGCGGCAGATCTGTCGGTAAATTTTCATTTACTTCTTTATTACCTTCTGTTGCCAATAACGCTTGCTTTTCATCCTCATTTACATTCTCTCCCTCGATAGCCATCTGCGAATAATTTGCCTGACTACTTGCTTCTCCTATATTTGACACCGTGGATGGATTCAAGGATTTTTCTGAGCCGGCATTCTTTTTTCCTTTTTTTATTTTAGTCTTAATTCTTTTTCCATTTGCTCCCACTTCTTTATCATCACTAATTTTAGGGATTATGTTATCATCGGGGGAATCATCTTCCACCTTTGGTTGATTAGTTTGTTTCACACTTTTAATGCTAGTTTCGGCATGCGAAGAAGTAGATTGTTTCTCATTCGACGTTTTTCCTGACTGTGATTGGGTTGGTTGAAGTTTTTGGCAAGGATCATATACGTTTTTTACATAATGTTGACTTTGTTTATGACCCGAAAAAAGAGGATTTTTACGAAAATTAGAAAGTTCATTTCCTTTCGGTACATATCTAGATATATATTGAGCGCTCAAATGTTTCTGTTTAGGGGAGAAAAAGGACATTTTATCTGATTTCTCGTTGCGGGCTACATCAAATTCGATTCGAATCATGTGCTCGATACGATCATTAGAAAACCAGGCCAATTTCTGCATTAGGGTTTTGATGCGTTGCTTATTTTTATCCTTAAAACAATTGGCTATCAGTGTACGATTAAAAAAATAATCGAATGCCTCAAGGATTTCTCTCGACGTTATATTTATTGGAACGACTGCGTTTTCATTTTGTTCCCCTTCCTCTTGGTCGTTGCTGGACTTCTGCGTATCTTTACGATTAATTTGTAAATGGATCTCGCTATTCTGGAAGAAATCTTTCATCAAATCCCTACAAATGATAGCTGTATCCACTAAGATTAATACGAAAGAATTGTTGAAAGGATATTTGCTTCGATAAAAAGAAAATATGATGGAGGTCAGGGAATGATAGCGCAATGCGATCATTTCTAAAATCTCTAATTCTTCGTACGAATAACTCTTAACTTTAATATCTTCTATTATTTTTTGAATAAATTTGACTAGTATGACGAATTGAATTGTCCCAATGTCGGGATTGCAAGCGTTGGCCACGAAATTCCATAAGGAGGCTAAGAAAGAATTCACAAAAGTGTTTTCGATGTTTATTTCTTTTTTGATGTATGCCAGATTCGGATTAAGATTAAGGAGCTGTAAATTCATTTTTAGGTTATTTTTTGAAAATTATGAAAGAAAATGATATATATAAATAATGCTAAGATCCACTTAAGATATATTCATAAAAAAATATCCCTATTAGTGTTTAAAAAAAATCAACATATTAAAGAAATGAACTGAATAATATTTTATAGATTCTATATTGGCATATATGGTTAAGAAATAAATGATTGTTGTGAACTTTAAAAATAAATTTTTTAATCAGAATGCTAGTTTCCATTTTTAAATTATGAAAAAAATATGATTAAAAAAATATCCCTTCTATTAGTGTTTAAAAAAAATCAACATGTTAAAGAAATGAACTGAATAATATTTTATAGATTCTATATTGGCATATATGGTTAAGAAATAAATGATTGTTGTGAACTTTAAAAATAAATTTTTTAATCAGAATGCTAGTTTCCATTTTTAAATTATGAAAAAAATATGATATTATGTTGTTATGTTTTCCCCACCTGTGACACAGTTAAAAAACTTATCCTATCTTTTAGATTGAAATGTTTGTTAGGCCTAAATTAATATTTGCTCGCCGATTCAATAAATATGTGCACTGAAAAAAAAATAGGCCATTTAAATTTTTTTTTAAAAGGATTAGTAGCGAGTCGGCACGGATCTTTAATATGAGATATAATGGGACAAAAATTATTGCGTATAATTAACCTGAACAAATTTCTTATTATAATTCTTATTTTATTATAAATTGGTTTTTTGTTAAATTATATAAAATATTTATTTGATTATAATATAAATAGAAAGTCACTAGGATAATTAAATATATAATAGGTCATAGGAAAATTCAACTAAAAA